GCAGACGCACGTGCTGCCAAGAACAACAACAAGAACAACAACAACAACAAGAACAACAACAACAACAACAGCGCAACAGCAACAGCAACAGCAACAGCAACAGACCAACCAACCAACCAGCCAACCAGCCAGCCAACCAACCAAGCACACAACAACAAACAAACAACAAACAAACGACAAACAAACGACAACCAGACAACAACCAGACAACAACAAACAACGACAAACAAACAACAAACAAACAACAAACAAACAACAAACAAACAACAAGCAAATAACAAACAAACAACAAACAAGCAACAAACAAACAACAAACAAACAACAAACAAACAACAAACATACAACAAACAAACAAACAAACAAACAAACAACACACCAACAACAAACAAACAACAAACACACAACAACACCCACAACCACAACCACAACCACAACAACAACAACAACAACATCAACATCAACATCAGCAACAGAAACAGCAACAGCAACAGCAACAGCAACGACAACAACAACAACACCAACACTAACTCCAACACCAAGAACCCCAACACACCACCACCACCACCACCACCACCACCACCACCACGACCACCACCACCAACAACAACAACAACATAACAAGAAGAACAACAACAACAACAGCAATAGTAAATATAACAAGAAGAAGACACACAACAACGTGCGTGACTGAGCTGCCACTGCCATGGCGGTCAACGTACTCCCCGAGAATTGGTGGAACAGTCCTTGGAGGGGAAGAGCTGTGGAAGTGTTATAAGGTAGCTATCAGATACTTTAGCTTACGGCAACCCCAACCAGAATCTCGATTACAAGGACGCGTATCCCCAAGAGCCCCCGAATCAAGATGAAGCAAGTAATTACGCTACAAGTTTCCCGATGCGTTAGCTACTTTCTGGCAAACCGTTAAGACGTGGAGAATCCGCACCTAGCATGCAGTCTGGAGACGGAGACCCCAAACATACACAGGGCTTCAACATGATTACTACGTACTGGGCGACCCTGAACCCTGGCTACAAGATGTACCTTTGGAGGGCTCATCCTCTACACAGAACTTGACCCCCAATAAATATCTAAACACCCGAAAAGCCCACAACATAAAACTCCAAATCCAACAGCCCTAAATACTAAATAAACCCTCAACACTGAAGCAGGATAGTCCCGAACTCCCGCCCTAAAACCCTTGATCCCTAAACCCTGCGCCGAAGACCGTGGGCTGTAAAGCAAATGCCCCCCGGTCTCTTCTTGCGTCAGGGCTCCGTGATCGCCTGCATCGGTGGCCTCCACAGGTTGTAGGGAGTTCGACGGTTATTTTGAATTTAGAGGATTAGGGTGTAGGAGTTTAAGGTTTAGGGTCTAGCTTGCACTTTCTAGAGACAGCCAGGGGAGACTTAGCTTTTTCCAGGGTGATCTTATGGAGCTTCACAGCTCCAACCCAAAGCAACCCCACGCCTCAGCCCCTACCCCCATCCGAACAGCAACCCGAACCCTTAAGCTCCAAAGCCCCAAAAAACACCGAAAACCCAAAACCCTACATGAACTAATTCTCCGTGGGACTTAGCAAATATCGGCTACACTTGGGGTCCCAATCTCATGGGTGCCTGCGCTGCCAGAGGCATCCCAGCCATGGGCCTTGGAAATGGCTATAATAATCATACTACAACAAATAATCAACACGAATAACATTAATAACTTAAGACTGGTAATCAACAACTTCTGTTCAGGCCAGTCGTCTGTGTTACTTCGAATCAAGGCTATACCGGCAAGCTACCCGGGCCTTGTCAATTGGAGTAGGGCTTGGGGTGTATTTTGCCAAATACCCGTTATTTACGGATTGTACTAAAAGGATAGCCTTTCCAATTAGGCTTAGGCTAAGGGCTTCACGGCTAGACTAGGACGAGCTCTTTAGTAGGGTATCCTTACCATCCGCTAGAGTTTGGAGCTGAATTCGGAGAACCCAAATGAGGTTAGGGTTTAGGATTAGGCCGTTCGGGCGTAGGGTTTAGGGATCTAGGTGTGCAGAGTCTAAGCTTGCATGTTGACGGCTCGGGCTTCACGTTTGGGAGCACAACCCAGACCCGACACACCTTGATCTCAGGCCATACAACGCAGACCCCAATAAACCTAACCTGATTAACCTCCCGTACACGCAAACCTCCAACGGAAAAAGACCCCTGAAATTACCAAAACGAAACAAAAACCTCAACGCTAAACCACTCATTGAACGAAGGGACTACCTATCTACAAGAGCGTCTGAAAGGATTTTCCGCATGCTGCGAGGTGACATGACAAGGTCTCGGTCTGCACAACACTTCACCTCGCCAACACATCTAGGGTTTGGGTTTAAGGTTTAAGATGTAATGTGTCATGGGCTTTAAAGGTGTGGGGCTAGGGTTTAGGTTTTACTGTATTACCATCATTGCCCGGCTGAAGCTTGAAGAAACGTTTGCTTGAAGTGGGATGGGGCGTAATGAATAAGTGGCCTAGGGCCTGGGGCTTTGGGTGCTTGTGTTCTTTTTCGGGTGAATCCTGCAGAATATAATCATTACTTGTCGCCTGTATGAAGGTTTAAGATTTCCGATTAAGAGCTCCTGCCTGCACGGCTTTACGTCGGGCTTTCCACGGTTCCGCGTCTCACCTTTCGGCCAGCCTACACGGGGCCGAGAAAACTTTCAACACAGAAGGGTACAGAGAGTATGGATGAGGGCACATCTATTACCTTCCGAGCTGTACTCCAAGAGAAGGTGTTGCGTGAGAACATACCTAATGTGTTATTCTTACCATCTCTTACCCAAAATTACCCCGCATCGAAACTGCTGAACTGCGCACCCTATTCCTCGAACCATAACTGTTAAAATGGGCAATCCGCCAAGCGCTTGTCTTCAGTGTGCAACCCGATGTGAGCCTTTGTTTGGGCTCTAAACCCTAATAAGTACTCCCTAAGCCTTAAACCCCATAAGGTTCGGGGACCAGGGTGATTCCGGGTTCATTTCTGGAAATAAGGCTTTGCATTAAAGGTTGTTCTCGACTGCGCACTAAGCAGAAAACGGAGCTGTGTTTTGGGACTTCCTCGAGAAGGATTAGGGCCCCGTAGCATTTAGGACAATGCATTTTTACTCTGGTCAAGGCAACATGCTTCACCAAACTAATTGCAAACATAGCAGCACAGCCCTTAAAGAACCCTAATCGGGACCTTAATGCGGCGCCTTCGGAAACCTGCTCGAAACCCTAAGCAAAACCTACTAGTCTTAGAACCTTGATCGGAACTTGCCCATCCACACCTTCACCCCACCCCACCCCACCGCACCCGACCCCACGGTGTCTTCCTTCCGCCAGCGGTAACGTCATATCTGGTAAAGGCGGAGCCAAGGCGCCCAATGAAGCTCTGCCTGGAACCACCACAAACATAAATCGAATCCGGGTCTGAGGACTCGATGCCTTTTGAAATGCTGACCTCTTGTGGCCCTTTTTCCATTGCCACGATCTGACCTGGAAAAAACACCCACGGGGTATCACCTGGGTACGGGGTGATATGAAAGAGCACAGCCTTTCCATGTCCTGGCAAAAAAAGCAGATGAATTGATGCTTCTTCAAATGGTTTCAGCTTCAAGATAGGGGTTTAGCGTTTCAGCTGGAGTTTGCATTGTGGGTACTTTACTATATTTATAAGGCTTCCTGGCGGCTGTCGTCGCGGTGCAGCGCACATCTGCGATCTGCCAGTCGCGTCAGCCGAAGCCCCGACGCGAGCTGCTCCTGCCTCGTCTTCAGCTTCGTCTTGGACCCAGACCCGGGCCTCCGCCGGCTGCGCCCCCTCAGCCCCGTTTCTCAGCGCCGCAATCGCAACAAATGCCAAAACCAACCCCCACCCCCACCCACCTCACCCGCCCCACCCACCCACCCCTCCCCCCTCACACCAAGCCTCAATGCTGGATCGCTAGCTGGAAGCATCTAGCCCACTCTCGAAGTCGCGAAACCACAATTCGAAAGCTTCGGACCTGCAAAGCACTGTTCGAAAGGCGCGAGGCATGCAGTCTTGATCCTTGCCTTGAGGGCCTTGCGGCTTAGGCTCCTACTCCGGAATGGGCCGAGTCAACATGTACAACAAGCTTGCGTCGTCATCCAGCATTTTCGGGGCCAGCCGCTGATCTTTCAGCTCCTTGGCCTTGCGCTGCTCGCGGCCGAGGTCGGACTCCTCGACCCGGAGAAAGCAGGGGGCTCAAGCGCATTCAGAGTCTTGGCGAGTCAGTTTCAGCATCCCAACGGCAACCAACCTCCAGCCCAAACACGACCAAGCAGTGCCGTGTGGCCGATCGCCTGCTGCACTGCCGTGGCACAGTGGAAACACGCTCCACCAGCGTCGCGCTCAGGCTGCGCGGGCTGGGCCGCGCACGGCCGGTGGGGGCCCCAGTTCCGGGCGTGGTGTCACAACAGCCCTAGTTCAAGAAAGGTTGAAATGCGTCCGGGTTTCAGGGGGCCTCCTGGACCTGATCACTGACGACCGCTTCGACCTGC